TCTCCGGAGATACCTCATCCAAGCAAGTAAAAAATATCAGTAATACAGTCACAAATATTACTTTGTGATGTGTAATGGCAATTATTGTCAAAAAAAAGGTGAACGGCAGGGAGTGACGCGGTGAGTATCGCTGCGGGGCTATTCATATCAACATAGCATAATTTAGGACAATACGCGCTGGGGCGTACGGGTGGAAGTCGGTTGAAAGGAGGAGGATGGCTTCTGCATGTCTGCAGGATTACCAACTGGGTATTGTTGGGGCGGCCGACCATTGATTAAAACAGGGGGCTGGTTCAGCGTTGGTGCCAAAGACGCTGCAATTTGCTGCTCCAACCGTCGCTTTTTGGTTCGCGGTGAAACGTCCCCATCCTGCACCTCTTGGTCATCAGTGGCACCACGCTTTTTCTCTACATTCCCGCCAAACTCAAAAGGCGCCCTAAACCGGGAGAAGGGTCTGGCAATTGTCGCTAGCATTTGTTCTGCGGTAATCTCTTGAAATCTCGTTCTCCACGTCTTAGCAAGTGCATCCCGCTTGGGTTTGGGAAGGTTGTACGCGCGCCATGGGTAATGTGGTCGTTTGTCGTAGGCTTCAAGCGCTTCCCTGTCTTTATTACTCCACCGCTCCTCCTCCTCCTCCCTCTTAAGCCAGCCAATATCAAGCAAGCGACGCGTTATTTTCCCTGGAAGACATGGTCGCATCATAGTGGGGTGCGAAATTACGGTCTCGTACGTGTTCCACGCCTGTAGTGGATCAAAGAGCTCGGCAGCGCGCTGCGGAATGGGAACAGCCTCGTGGCCAAAATCGCGAACTTTAATTCCCATTTTCTGGATTTCTTCTACAATTTCCTCTTGTGTAAGGTCCAGCGGAATAATTTCGGTGGGGGCAGGAGACGGAGCTGATGAGCGAGAAGGCTACACGCAGGTAATCAAAATTTGCTATTTCTACAATCGGTGGGTGACTCACTGGTTCTTGGGGCTCCGACGAGGGTTCGGTAGACAACACCGGTGTTGGGATGTCGAGTGTGGTCTCACTTTGGGTTTGTCCACCAAACGATGCGTCCAGACTAGACTCTCCTATATGCTGAGAGCCTGTACGAGGGATTGCGTGCTCCGACGTAGGAGCAGCGTACTGAATCAGATCACTGGCGGGCATATTTGTTCGGTCGAAGTCGAGTTCAAAGGAGTCGTATGCTTGGGAGGACAGCATCGCAAATGATACGAAACCAGGCGGATTTAATGTCCAGAAAGTGTGGACACTTTATACCTCCACAAGACTCGGTGTGATGAACTCAATTGTGTTGTTGTCAATGTCAAATTGTCAATGGCAGAATTTCTGTGGCAACTGCCAAGCGGCAATTCCCGGCAGCTTTAGAGGTGAACAAACAACAAAAGATGATAGTAGAGTCTGTTTTTAGAGAGGTCAAGCTAAGCCCTGAAGCCTGATTGACAATTACCTTGGTCTCACTTTTATTTTATCGAGCGGAAATAGTGCAGTTTGAGCAAATTTTTGGTACCCCTAATTAATGACTACTGGACGCGACGCGTCGCGTCGCGTCAACGTGGGTCTGTTCAACAATCCACGAGCCCTCTGAGAAATTCCAGAGGGTGTAACAGTCGTATAGACCGATGCGAACGAGGCCTCAAAGTACTTTTTACCAGTCTACTAACCAGTACCAGCTCGGTACTTGTCTGCTTGCTTGATGTCCGAATCGGATCTTGGTGCTTGTACCAGACGTTGACTTCAAAGAGTAGCGGGGGTAGATATTTAGCATGAGCGCTTTCCGTCTGGAAGCGCATATACAGATTGACACTAATGACAACGATGCAAGAAACCGATAGATGCTTGACCACGTGCCTTTTCTGCTGACGCAAGCTGTATAATTCAGCATTGAATCCAAAGGTTACAGCGAGCAGCTTGCCACGTAAAAACAGACAGAAGCCGGCCGATCAAGCTGCCGGTATAAGCAGCAACTGTCAAAATACCATGCAGGTCGACGGGCATGCTTATACTGCACATAGTAGACATGGACCGCTGGATCGTTTTTAGTCTTGCACATCGCCCTACACATTCACATTGATGATGATGAACAAGCGGTTCAATGAGTGTCCCCTCAGGGCTTGAGGACGATCCAACACCAGTCTGCCGTCCAAGAAAAGGCCAACCTCGGCGGTGTATCATCAGAAGTACTGAGAGAATTACATAGACTGTGTGCCAGCACGTCCTAGGATTCCACGAATTCGAAGTGTACAGTTCGCACGATATGATAGTGTTTTATTCCTGAATTTTGCCTCCATCGCGATACGACAGGTCACTGACATAGTCCATCAAGAATATTGGTACCAACGAGGCGGTTCGTCCTTCTTCAGCAACTGTTTGAAAACCGTATATTTTTCCTCCAACGGCGAGTTGGCTGGTAAGCCTTCGTAAGGATCGCTTGTGGTGAATGCAATGCACCAAGGTCCAAGAGGTCCTGTCTTGAGCGATCTTTAATCGATGTAACAGTGTGTAGCCCCATAGACACCTGTTAGCGCTCTGATATCCCTCGTTGCCAAGCATATTATCCCCCGCGCATCTTCATTCGTCTCGAGGGGCTCGTGAACCAAATCCATACCGCGCTGGGGCCAGTCGTCTTCCATCAGGTATAGTAGCACAGAACTTCGCCATGGCTTCGATGCTGGAAGAAGAATTAGAATATGGAAAGAAATGTGACGCAAGTGCGCGCTTACTCGTAGTCTCCCGCAGTCAGACTTTATACAGGTCCTTGATGGAACGAAGATGGTCGTTCCTTCTCTTCCAAGGCTCGGTAAGTCGCTTGGTCAAAAATATTGGCTTTATATGGCTTGGCATGTGACAAGGCACGTGAACGGACAGCCATAGTAACATAGAGTGGTACGCGACGCGTTTCAATGTCTCATGCTTTGTGCAATTTTCGAGGTCATGTTCACGACCGTAGCGTATTGTGTTCCAAGTTCTTCTACCAAAATTTGCAGACTGCTCATTTTATCACGGCTTAAAGTTGCAAGATGATATCGACTATCAAATAGTTACGTGTTCAACCCGGTATCACTTGGCGTATCAAGTTCACACGTCTAAGGCTTATAACGAAGGTCGAGGAATGTTGTGGAGACAACGCATTGACGACCCAAAGCTCGAGCTCGTTCCTCGAGCTGTATGTATCAGTCTCAACGATATGAAAGATTTTAGTGTGTTCTGACGCAGCCTGTATTGGTATTGAACAGTCGTTCAGTCATCATCATACAGAAGAAAACTAAGAGTTTGGACATCGACATTTCATTAGTAACAGAATCACTCCGGTAATGCTCAGACCTTATAGCAAACGGCAAGCGAACTTGGACATAGCTAACACGAAAATCAATAACAATTCAAAAGCATATAATTGTCGCATTGCTCGTGCCATCAGACGGCATAAACAATCCTAGAATTTGTATGATCCACGACAGCGTGCTCACATTCTGGATGAAGCGGTCTACTCCTTCTTGGCATCCCTCTCCCGCTTCTTCAGTGCCCTTCTCCTGATATCCTTATGAAGCGAATGGGTATAAGCAATAAGTCGAGTCTTCCATCCGACGACGTGCATCGCGTAATCGAGGAGCGCGTGGCTCCAGAACGCTGTGACCGTGCCTGGGCGCCCAGTGAATGCTGCACCGCAGGAGAAGCCAATTTTAGAGAGGCATGTGCGCACGTAGGATGTGGGACTGGGAATTAACGCAGATGTGCGTCGGATTTTGGACATCTTGGAAACCTGGAAAAGACAAGAAGGGGCATGGTGAGATGTAATGGCTCGGAGACGTAATGAATGTTACGCACGACAAAGTAAGTATTAAGGTATTGGACGACGATCCCATCGGATCTAACCTCCTCTGCGAGGGCGCTGGTAAAGGTTTCAAGGAACGCCTTAGTACCACTGTATGTCGCTAGCATTGGAGAAGGGACGAGTCCCGCAAAGGAGCCGAGGTTGAGAACCAACCCACGCTTCCTAAGTCCGTTCGCATTGAGGCAATAGAGGTGAGATGCAGGTTAGATAGCTCACCGCTGAATCATACCAGGGAGAACTGCATGCGTGACGCGAATTGTCGCATTCACGTTGATGGCAACGATGTCAGCATTTTCTTGTTCCACAGTTTCAGCAAAATAAGTGGGCATGGTGTGGGATTTTCCGACATTGTTAACTATGCTGTGTCAAAAACGAGGGCTCAAGAGTGCTACTGAGCACGCACCGAGCACACCAACATCGAGAGTTTGAAGAAGAGCTTTCAGGCCATCATATTTGAAGTTGTCGCTTTGGGCAAAGTCGATAAGGTAGATCTTGGTTTCAACTGTAGATTTTGTTTTCGTAGCTAGAAGAGTTGTGAGGCTTTAAAAAACACCGATGTGAAGAACTCGTACCAATCTCGACTGCTACGTCGTTCAACATCTTGGCGTTCCGTGCGATGAGCAAGACATTGAACCCCGCTGAACCTAGCTGGATTGCGAACTCCCTCCCAATGCCATCTGAAGCACCCGTAACGACTGGAATGAATGAATGAATGAATGAGATTTGCACGTCAGCAGAGGTCGCCTAACCAACCTGCCCATGCTCCCTTCTTAGCACCAAACTTCTTGAGCTGCGGTAAGGCAAGTCAGGTTCTCACCAGAGGGCTAAAGACACATGTTCTATAATCCACATACATGTGTCCCAGAAAGAATGAAGGTTTGAAAGAAGACGACAAGAGTTTTGAATGTAAAACGTGCAAATGTTAGAGCACCGAGAGAGAGCAGAAGTGCATACGGCCAAGGACAGTTATTGACTGTGACGCGAGTTGAGAAAGCGGGTATCATATCATACAAAACGACTGACCATGATCAAGCCAAACTTTGAGTGCAGTAGCGTCCATCGTCGCGTCGCAGTCGCGTGCTAAGGCTCACTAGTACTGGTGCACTGGCACAGGTTAATGACGAAATGCCACTCGTTGCTTAGTAAGCTCGTGTTTTTCTGTGGATGTCAGTGCCGCGGACCATCAGTTGGCAAGTTGATCAAGAGGGTACACGATTCACGAATCTCTTGATCATTTCGAATTTCCGCTTTTCCCTTACAAGCCCGTGTCGTTCAACTTTATTCTGTCAAGATCATGCCAGCCTGAGTTACATGGTTTCTCGATTTCTCACTGGGCAAATCGATCGTTTACTCGTGTGGTGACTGCAGCTAGTCCCTTATCTTATTCATATTGATATTATATGCGTCTAGTGCATCCCGGGGAATTGACCTTGAACTTACCAGGCAGAGGCAGCTCCTACAGTCATCTTCCAACACTGCTTGTCACCTGTCACTCTCCTGCCACACCCCTTGGCCTTGAATCTTGATGCCCTCAAATCCAGTCCTGGGACCCTCCATTTCGTTTAAATTGATATCATGAATGAAGGCAGTATCAAGACCGGGTGTTCAAAAGTTCTTGGGCTTCTCGATGGCACTGGGTTGGACTCTATCATTAATAACGCTGCGATCGTGCGTTTTGCTGTGTTAGCTTTTACAGGTTGTATGATGATTCCTGCACTGCAGAACCCTTGTAGGGACTTGCTGTTTAGCTTCGATCCAGCTGTGCTTGCAGAGATGATCAAATGCAATATCACGGGTCCAACACTGGTTACATTCTTCCTTCTCCCAGCCATGGAATAGCAGCAGCGAAGACATCGTCAACACGAGCTCCTCTCTTACCAGTGTCAACAAAGATCTCAAGCCCGAATCGACCAGCTACAATATCAGTAAGGTGGGACTTCACGTACTCGTAGGCGATCCCTTCATCGAAATCTGTGTGTGCTAGAATACTGAATATTATCTCTTATTTTCACGAATGAATTCTTTTGTGCTGTTTATTGATCTGTCGGTCTGTATTTCCTCTTGCAATTGCCGGTACTAGCCACGCAACAGACATGCAGACAAATGTGTGAGCGTCCCCACTTCATCTCCATCCTCATGGACAGACATGGGCGGCAAGGGTGCGGTGATCGAGCCCCATGTCTCCGAGTTTGTGACAGGCATTGTGAACATCGTGACGAAACCCACTACAGCTGATGTGGGCAAGTTTTACAATTATTTGGGCAAGCAGAATCCGTGGTGATAGAATACTCTTTGCGAAGTCGTATAGCCATCGATATAAATCTATATGCTGTGAGTGGTGGTGCAGGAAGTATGAACTTTTTAGGGCTTTGGCGCTTGTTTGGCGCAAGCCTCATGCTCCTGCTTTCGTGCTAAAAGCTCTGCTGGCTTCAATCACACTGTCAATCTGATATGCAAAACTGTACTCTTTTACGATCCGAACCGAATCGAAGAAGGCGAGGGTCCTAGCACATTATCATACCACCGCCATCCTGATATGCCCTTGATTCATCCAATTGCAATGGCAACGTAAGCCTCCGCACCAAACCCGCACGTTATTCACCGTTCACATCGCCCACCTCACCGATCACACGTGCTGAATCTCTGATGGTTCTTCTCCCACAGAGCCTCGATATCAAGACCGTTGTATCTCTCGAAGTGCGACGATATGACCTAGATATGATGGTGTACGCTCTATAGATTTACACGTCTGATTCCATGCTGGCTTATAGGGTCGACAGACTTGGAGTGCGTCCCAAAGCTCGCGGAATACTTGGGCACGTGGTTGATACGTGGCGGGCTTAAATCTGCGTGACGTGGCTCTCACTTCGCCAGCATGCATTTGGTGCGTGTTGGTCTTGTATTGACCCATTCATCAAATTTCCTCCCGCAGTCCCCCCGATATGCTGTTGTTGATCTCTTCAGATGACAGCCCTGTAAAAGACTAGTCGGCACAGAAGCAGTATCATCCAGGGGCTCTCGCGAGATGTTCTTCCATTTCGCGCATGTGCGCCTCCTGTTTTATAGTCTACACGCTTCAACTGGATGCGATATTGTGTCAGGGAAACGGCCGCGTGTCGCACATTAACTCGGTTCGGTAGATCTGATGGCCGTGTGCACTGGGGAGGTTTAAAGCGACCCGGGGAGGATTAGCCCAAGCTGAACCTTTACATTTAATCCCCACTCCCCTCCCAGCTAATCCTCCAACCGTACTAACGACCTGCAATGCCTGATGTCCATGGTGTCCTCATTATCGCCCGCAACGGCGACCGCACGGAGTTTTACCAAGATCCGCATACCTACGAGCCCTCTTACAGCGAGTCTACACCTCTCGGCGCTGTATGTCTACCCCATTCTCCGTGCACCCTACCTAATATACGACCTTAGGTAGAATCATATCAGCTTGGCTGCTATTTGAGATCGACGTACTTAAACCCCTCTTCCCCGTCGTACATCCAAGGCATCCATGCTGACCTCGTGCAGAACGATCAAGTGGTTGTGCATGCCAAGGCTGGTGGGGAAGGCACTTCGGTCTTTGATAGTGCCATAGCTGTCCTGCAAGGCCTCTTCCCGCCAAATTCAAACAACCAGATCGAGCTTGCTAACGGGACGAAGGTTGTCACTCCACTCGGGGGTTACCAGTACATTCCAGTCGAGATGGCCCCGAGCGGCGTTGACCGTGCGCTGGAGCCCTGGACTGAGTGTCCGGTGAGTTACGTGCCTCCAGGGGTCTGTGGAAGGCTGATTCGTGTGGTATATAGGCATTCGAGCAGCACATCAAGAGTGTGTATGCATCTGAGGGATTCAGGGAGACTGGGAAATCTGCAGGACACTTCTTTGGCGTCGTTCGCGACTATGTATTCGGGAGGCCTACGACGTTTGAAAATGCTGTACGTATTCTTCTGTTTCGTCCTTACTCGTGCTGATAATCCTATGTCAGTGGAATGTATGTAACACGCGACATTCTCATGGCCATTCTAATGTTGCGATATTTCATGTAGATCTATGACTTCATGAACTCACAACTTACGCACAACCAAACCTATGCTTACCGTCTTCCCCCGACTTTAATTGAGCAGGCCCACGGATATGCTAACTACCACGAGAACGCGATCTTCTCGGACAAGGAAACGGGTGGAATTGGAAATAGTACGTCTTACTGTCACGTATTGTTTGCGACTAGTAACCTTCTGCTTAGTTGCTGGTCGTACTATCCTTCACAGCATTCTTCACACCCTTCAACGCATCACTTTTGACGAGGACCCCCTCAAGTTGCTTCTCCTTGAGACGACTTACCAGCCATTCATCTCACTATTCCACATGATGGAGATGGTCAACGAGCACCCTCAGCTCGCTGCTATTCGTGAGTATTCTACTTCAGGCAACCTTACAACGACTCAATATTTGCATTACTACAGCAAACCGTGCATCCGCCCTTGCCTTTGAACTTCTTCGCGGACCTCCACCTGAACTCCGCGAATTCCTCCGCATCAAGTTCAAGAACGGGACCAATGAGGATTTCCAGACTTATCCCATCTTCGGTCACCAAGGAGACATCGCGGTAACAGAATTCCTGTATCGCCTTGAGGTAAGTTTCGTGCACGTTGTGTTTGGCTCGCACTCATACGTTTTCCAGAACTTTGCTGTCTCGAGCCAGAAACAATGGGAATCTGCGTGTGGAGTCCATAGCGGCTACTTCGGTATCACGTCTGCTGCTGAGAGCACGAACATGTTACTCGCTGCCTTCTCAGTATTCTTACTCATTGGCGTGTTTGCTTTGTCGTGGTTCAAGCGCAGGCGGAGCACATATGCTCCTATTCGTGAAGTGGTGAGTCGCTTTAATCTGCGCTGTGCTCTGTTGACTTACGGATACTGCTTGTAGCATGTTGTTAGCAACGAGAAGGGGAAACTTTTGCCATGAGTTTGGTGTGAGGTGGATAGGTGATATGGGCGTGGTTTTTTGCATCATGTCGTTTGAGTAGCGTTGCATTTGTTTAGATCAGCAGTCTTTGTTTACTTGGACTATGTTTCTGAATGATTCTAATTTCCTGCGAGAGGTCAGAGGCCTGCATGCCGCTATAAACAGAAGCGATTTGAAGGGGAACTCTTCCTGGTCCGTTCGAGTACAGTCACGTGCCTCGCATCTCATCGAGCATTCGAAATGAATCATGCCAATGTCTCTTCGTCTCGTCTCTTCTCCACATGGAAACACTTTTCGATCCCACAAAAGACCAGCTTCACGTTTTCATCGAACTGCTCTTTCGTTCTCTTCGCGCAGCTGCCAACAAGTACCCTAGCAACACCACAAAAAACGTCCCGCACAAATTTAGGGAAAAGTAGAGGAATTTTGAACAAGCCAGATAAAATACTAAAAGTTAGAGCCAACTCCACGGGGATGGCTATTAACAATCGTCTGCTTGTACGTCGTTCAACTCCATCAACAAATCCATATCGACCATCCCAGCAGCACGAAGGATATCCTCTTGGGGATCCTCGACGTCGCTCAAAAGGTCTGTTAGTACACGGAAGCGGTTCGTAAGCCAAATGATTTGGAGAATGCCAGCGCTATCGATAGGCATTGTACCGTTCCTTCCGTGCATCCCATTTGTCACGCGCATTGATAACGCTAACATAAGTAGAGAGCAGGTGAGCGCAAGTGCAAGCTAGATCTTTTGGTTAGTGATACATAATTCCCACACGCAACAGAATCCTTACGGGCCATAAGTTGATCTGGATGATCTATTACTTAGCCATGAAATTCATCATCGAATGATTCTGACCTTACACCAAGGTGCCATTGCAGAAGCTGCTGTGAAATGGTGGTGGTTTCATTTTTCCGATCAAACCCGCCACCGTCGGCGCCGAGTTGTCCGCCTTTTTAGCCGCCGTATGTCAGTTAACCGTTTCTGCACAAATCAATCGGAAGTCACAACATACCCGTCCATAGAAGTGCAGCATAGGCCTTTGATAGAGCCGATTCAAACTGGTCACGGCTGCACAAAACTTTCTTCGGAGTTGGAGGAGCGTGATTCAGGACAGAGAAGCCTGTGAACTTTGCTAGGTCGGGAAAGACGATATCTATTCCAATCTGCTGCATAAAAAATCTGACAAAGATGATTAGCAAGGACTGAACATTACTACGAGCTGTGCATAAATTACATTTCCAAAAGAGATAACCCATAACATGATGCTCGATCCTGGTTCATGCACCAGCCAATGGGGTGATGTGCCCCGCTTACGAAAGGAGAAACAAGCTATCGAGTGCCGAAAACCGTATGTTAGATCTCAGCCAGTTTATCAATGGCAGAAACTTACCCATTTTTCATGATGCAATGCACTTGCTGATGGCGGTGACCAAATATCCCATTTCGGCTCTTCCTCCGGCACTGACCATGCCTCCCATTCGCCAGAAACATTCGGCCCAAGGGATGGAGAAAGACCCAGTAGTTGATTGGTCTGTACATCCACAGTGGCGATATGGGGTTGAACGTCAATAGTGCACGCCACTACATGGACGTTGTACATGCTATGAATCAAGGGAGGCTGGGGACTACCTGTAGTCGTGTTCAGGACACATTCATGCGTAACAAAGCCTCTGACCTATGAAGGATATTTGAGGATATTCCCAATACACATGTTGAACTGTTTCAGCGGTGGGTAAATAGCTCGAGTTCACAGCGGTCGAGGCTATGAAAGCAACAGTCGGCTATAATATAGTTACTTAGCGAGAGATTCAAATTTCAGGAAGATTGGCACGTACTCCTGGAAAGAACAAGGAGATGGCATGATTTATCGTAACCTCATCTGAATCTAAGAATAGACGCTCGATGAGTCTATTCCAACAACAACAACAAAAATACATACATGGATGCACAAGCCTAGCTCTAAATTTCATGGTATCATTGAGGTTTGATATTGGCGGGTTGAGTGTAAAATATCCGAAATTGTCGGCATTAATTTCAGGAGAATAGTTCAACATGGAATTGCGAACTAATCCACAATTTGCTCTGAATGATGATGCATTGACGATGGCGTGACCAGATGTATCGGTAGACTGAATGATATCGTATAGAGTGGCGCCGTGGAGTCCCATGCCCTGAAGATTGGCGAATTGGCCTAGCGTAGGAACCAATGCACTGATGGTTTGCCACTGGATTGCCATCATATCTACGTCTGGACTAGGCCAGTAAGAAATTTTTGTAGCGAGCGCATCCACGGTGGAGTTGAATGTTTGCAATTGAA